TCCGAGTCGGAATAGCCAAAAAGATGACAAGGAGACCCCTTGGGGTACCATAGTCCAACGTTCATTGTACCAACAAGATGTATCATTATCCGTTTCACCGCCGTTAAATGCGATTCTTTCGGACAAGATTGATACCTTGCACATAAACAAACGCTAAACATGATATCGGGTCTACTAGCGGTAAGATAAAGAAGGGATCCGATCATACATCGATACTTCTTTACGTCTAAATCCTTACCCTTTTCATCTTTGTCCAAGTGCTCGGAGGTGCTCATCGGGGTATAGCCATTGCTTTGGAGCCGTCCATTTCGAATCGTTTTAGGAGCTCCTTGCAATACTTTGATTGACAAATGAAGGTTCCTTACCTCATTTGTTTGACTTGTAAGCCCAAAAATAAATTGAGTTCCCCCATCATGGACATCTCAAATTCATTTGTCATCAAGTTTGAAAATTCCTTGCACAAAGATTCGCTAGTAGCACCGAATATAATGTCATCTACGTAAACTTGCACCAAGAGGATGTTATCGTTTTTACTCTTGATGAAAAGTGTAGTGTCAACCTTCCCCCTTTTGAACCCGTTGCCCAAAAGAAATTTGCTCAAACGTTCATACCAAGCACGAGGTGCTTGTTTAAGACCGTAGAGTGCTTTCTTTAGTTTATAGACATACTCCGGGTGCTCAAAATCCTTAAAGCCCGGGGGTTGATCAATATACACTTGGCATTGGCGTTTCCTCCTCTTGTGGTTGTTCGTCGTTTATGGGTGGCTCTACTTCCACATCTTGGCTTTCCTTTGAGTTATCTCCTTTGTCATTGTCGTTGAGATAGATGTTCTCTAACGAATCTACAAGATCATCACAAGAAACCTTTCTCGCCAAGCGAGCATCATTTTCGGCAAAGACAACATGAGGAGATTCCTCAACAGTTAAGGTGCGTTTGTTGAAGACTCTATAAGCCTTATTTCGCAATGAATAACCAAGAAAAATTCCTTCATCCGACTTTGCATCGAATTTGCCCAAATTATCTTTTCCGTTATTGTGAACAAAACATTTGCAACCAAAGACTCGAAGATGGGAGAGGTTTGGCTTTCTTCCTTTATATAATTCATATGGGGTTTTCATGAGTATCGGTCTAATGACGGCTCGGTTTAACACGTAGCTTGCGATACTCACGGCATCCGCCCAAAAATACTTAGGAATTTTTGCCTCATCGAGCATAGTTCTTGCCATCTCCTCGAGACAATGATTTTTACGTTCCACCACTCCATTTTTTTGTTGTGTACGTGGAGCAGAGAAGTTATGCTTGATGCCTAGTTCGTCACAAAACTCGGTAAAGAGATCTCGTTTGAACTCTCCACCATGATCGCTTCGTATGGCTACGGTGGTTAAGCCTTTTTAATTTTTAACCTTTTTTAGAAAAGTTTTGAAAACATGAAATGCCTCACTTTTATGAGTTAGAAATAATGTCCATGTGAATCGAGAGTAGTCATCAACGATCACAAAGGCGAAATAGTTTCCCCCAAAACTTTTTGTTCTTGATGGTCCAAAGAGATCCATGTGCAAAAGTTGTAAGGGCCTTGTTGTAGACACAACATTTTTCGATTTAAATGAGGCCCTTACTTGTTTGCCCTTTTGACATGAGTCACAAATGGTGTCCTTCTCAAACTTGAGTTTTGGAAGGCCAACTACTAGGTCTTGTGAAACCAATTTATTCAAAAGGTTCATGTTGACATGAGCTACTCTACGATGCCATAGCCACATATCATCCTCCTTACTCATGAGACATTTGGCAAAGTCGGAGGGAGATTCATCTAAGTTAACCATGTAAATGTTATCAATCCTATCACCACGAAGAATCGTCTTATTGTCACTAAGACTTTCTACCGTGCATGATTTAGAATCGAAAGTCACACGATTTCCCTTGTCACACAATTGACTTATGCTCAAGAGATTATGTTTAAGACCCTTAACCAATAATACATTATCAATAGAGGAGGTTTCGTTTTTACCAACCGAACCATGCCAATTATCTTGCCTTTGCTATTATCGCCAAAGACAATGTTTCCTCCTTTAGTTGGTTTGATTTGCAAAAACTTGGATGCATCTCCGGTCCTGTGCTTAGAGAAACCGCTATCAAGGTACCAAAGTACACTTGATGCCTTCAAGCACACCTACAAATCAATTTAAAAAGATTTAGGTACCCAATTCCTTTTGGATCCTTGGGCGTTAGGTGCATGTTGGTAGTGTGATTGGTTTTGAGTGCAATGCCTATGCCTAGTGAAACAAACCAGGGCTATATGTCCTACCCTATTGCAATAATGACAAATAACATTTGGATTATGCATTCTCCTAGGTTGATAATAGTTACTAGGTTTTCTATATTGATTGACCCTAGTTTGAGAAAAGTTTTGTTTATGCATATTTTGAAAATGGTTTCTAGGTTCTCTAAATTGACCATTGTTTATCCTAGTGTTCTTTCTAGGTGGTCTAGTGTTCCTAGTTGATGTAGGTTAGTTGTCTATTATTGTTCATTTTAGTTTTCCTAGGTTGAGCCTTAGGTTGTTTAGGTGGTTGCTCAACTTTTTCCTTATTATTAGTTTCATTTTCAAATCCTAAGCCATGTTTAGTAAGTTGCAAATTATCAAGAACATCATTAAGATTTTTATAAGAAACACCAAACTTCTTCAAAGTTCCTTCAAGTTTTGCAACTTGTTCCTTAAGTGATATACATGAGCTACATTTTGAACTTTCCGGTTTGTCGGCGCTTCTTTTTCCGAAAAACTTATTTTCTTCTTTGAGTTTTTCATTATCTTTTGATAGTTTGTCAACTTCCTTCTCCATGGAAGTAAGTTGTTTCTTCAAATCCTTGTTAATTTTAGAAGCGTTGACATATTCATCATAAAGTTCATTAAAGGCTTCTTATACGTCGTCAACGGTATAGGAATCTTTAGAAGTGGTACATACCTCTTCCGGTGGTTCCTCGTGTGCCATGAGGCAAAAGTTGGCGCTTTCATTTTCTTCGCCTTCCGATGACTCGTCGCCGGAATCACCTCCCCATGAGATGTAAGCTCGGTGCTTCTTGAACGGTTTCTTCTCCTTCTCGTTTTTGGCATTTGGGCATTTTGGCTTGATATGGCCAACTTCTCCACACCCATAGCATTTGGGTGGTCTTCCATGCTTCTTCCCCTTTCGTTCATACTCCTTACGCATGAACTTGTGGAACTTTTTGATGACGAGCCCGAACTCGTTGTCCTCATCGCTTGATTCCTCCATGGCAGGTTCTTGGCTTGAGGTAGCCTTGAGTGCAATCCCCTTCTTCTTTTGTTCACCTAAAGAGGGGAATGGAATTGCAGACTCATAGGTTTTGAGGATACCTCTAAGCCCGTCAATGGTGACGTTGGTGATGCCAATGGACTCTTAGATGGCATCGGCTTTGGAGCGCCATTTCGGTGTGAGACTCCGCAGGATTTTTCTCACAAGCTCCTTGTCCGTGTACGTCTTCTTGAGAGCATGGAGATCATTGACGATCTTAGAGAATCGTTCAAACATCTTGTTAAATATATATATAATATATTTAATATTATTGTATTATTATTGTTACCATATTTGTATAGGTTTCCTATATTGTCTCTTACCATATTTGTATAGGTTTCCTATATTGTCTCTTACCATATTTGTATAGGTTTCCTATATTGTCTCTCCTACCTTAATTAGGATTGAGACTTTTGTATATATACATGTACTTTCCTCACAATTTATTCAATGAAAATACTTCTTCTTCATGGTATCAGAGCCTAACTAAAACCCTAAAAATATCCTCCCTAGTTTCGGCCCTCCCCTTCGCTGAACTAAACCCTAACTAAACCATGGTATCAGAGCCTAACTAAACCCTTCACCGTCTCTCTCCTCCTCTTTTCACGGCCGGCAGCTTCCTCCCCCTCCTTCAATGGCTGAATGTGAAGTCACCTCTCAATCCTCTACCCAAAAATCTCCACATCTGGCTTTCTCCGTCTCCAACGTCAAACTCCATGTTCCAATCCAACTCAGCTTTTCTCAACCAAACTACAAAAAGTGGAGCCGCTTTTTCCTTCATCTTGCACGGTAGTTCAACCTTCAGGGTTATCTCGACGGTTCTATTGCTCCCATCTCCGATGACGACGATGAATGGTTTTAGCTTGATGCCATTCTCCAAGGCTGGATTCTCTCCACCATCACTGATGAAGTTTCAGATCTAGTTATTTCCTCGGTCTCTACTACTTCTGCTCTCTGGAAGGTGATTCATGACCTGTTTCACGACAACAAACATGCTCGCGCCATGCAACTCGAGCACCAATTTCGCACCACCGTCAAAGGATCTACTCCCATGGCTACGTATTGTCAAGAGCTCAGAAATATTGCAGATTGGCTAGATGACGTAGATGCCCCTGTGTTTGAGCACCAACTTGTTCTCCAAATGTTGCATGGCCTCCCCGATGATCTACAAGCCCAAACTTTGTTCCTTCAATTTCAAGATCCCATGCCGAGTTTCCTCCAGGTCCGGTCGGCCCTCCTTCTCCTTGACCGACAACGGACCCCCCTGGGCAGCACCAGCAGCACGGCGCTGCTGGCGGGGCATGGCGGCAGCAGCCACGCAGGCGGACAGCGCGGCGGGACTGGCAGGCGCGGCTCTTCTAACGGTGGCAACTCCGGCGGTGGGGGACAATTTTTTGGCAGCAACTATGGTGATGGTTCATCCTCCGGGCAGCGTGGTGGCTTTGGACGCGGACAAGGGCACGGCAACGGCAACCGGGGTCGTGGTCGAGGGCGCCAAAACAGCGGATCGAGGCAGCGACCACCCACGGACGGGCACAATTCCTGGAACTCACCGTATCCAAACCCTAACCTCGGGGTGTTGGGCCCCCGGCCCACCCCCACACCCTACCCATACTATGCTCATGCCCACTATACAAC